TAGGAAAAGGAAGGCCGAGAGTTCTTTCTGGAAAGCACAGCTGTGGTCTCTTGTTGGTGGTTCAGGTCACGTGACTGTCCTGATTGTACAGATTTGTCAGCATGGCCACAGGCATGGCCAGCTGAGGATGAGGATTGCTAACGGCATAGTCTCCAGTCAGTCTTTACAGTACTAGGCTGTGAGATAGCAGGACACCTTTTGTGTTGACCCAAGCCCTGGGGAAGCTCCTCCTACTAGAGCAGCAGTTCCTCCCTCATGTGGGTTGTGACCCTTTCACAGGGGTCGCCTAAGACCATTGGAAACCACAGGCTCTTGCATTGTGATGCATAACAGTAGCAAAATGGCAGTTCTGAAGTAGCAGTGAAAATAATTTTATGGTTGGGGTGGGGGTCACCACAACATGAGGAACTGTATTGAAGGGTCGCGGCATTAAGAGGAGTGAGGACCACTGGGCTAGGCCCTGTGTTCTGAGCCACTTTGTGCTGTAACCCTTATGACCAGAACATTGGCTCTCACTGGGAAGAGGCAGCTGTGTAGGCAGTGAAGGGAGTACAGATGTTTAGCCTGCAGCTGGACTGGCAGGGACACAGAAGCACAAAGCAGCTGGTGCCTCCCGAGTAAGTCATTCTGAACTCACCTCTCGTGGGCTGGAGGTCTTTCTGAGCTCCTGGAATGAAGGATAAAAAAAAAAGCAGCAGCCATATACAAGCCTCAGAAAAGCTTTTTGCACTTGGAACAGAAAGTATGAGGGGTGGGGTGAGGGGATTTAACTGTTTAGGGGAAGGAACCAAGAGCCCCCCATGCAACCATGCAATCTATCATCCAGGACTGGTTCTGTCTGATGACAAAGGCCACATGGACCAAAAATCATGGGCCTGAAACTGTGCACCACTGGGTTTAATAGGATGATATGCTCATTTGGAATTGTTCTTTTATACATGGATATTGTTTTGAAAACCCCCAATGCTGAAGATCCAGCATCATATAAAAGTGGCCTCTACGGTGCAGCGTTCTGTGAGTTTAGAATAGCAGCTCTGATACGGCTGAACCATGCTTTTGAACCCAGGCCACAGACCTGCCTGTAGGGCACCAAGCAAGATGGATCCACGGTGATGCCATCTTCGGGAGGGGAGGCCTCCCTCCCTGTGTGCCTGTCTCCCGCTCTGGTTCCAGCAGCTGGGCGGAGGAGAGTGAGGTTTTTTTTCATTGCTGAGTAGAAGAGAGATGCAGCTTGGCTTAAGATGATCTGCTTCTCAAACGCCTTGCATCAGGGTCCAGGAAGCGAGCGCATTTGAACGGGAGATTTAAGCCTTTGTTTACCCATAAAGATGAACTCATGGTTGTCAGCCTGATCCAGAAGTCACTGCCTTGGCCTGTCATTTCGAATACCGTCAGAGATGGGCTGATGGATTTTTGCCGTAATCAGCAAGTCCGAGTGAGTTATTAGGATGTGGTCGAGGTGACAGCCTCAGTGTAATGACATGAGACAGAGGGACAATGTTGAGTTTATGATGAGTCTGAGTGGGCTTAGGTGGGCGCCATCGTCTTAGTCCATGAACTTGCACGTGGATACTAGTATGAGCAGGGTGTCAATATCATGGCCACTTTTACTCAATTTGAAAAAAATAAAGGTCTTAGTGTTAAATATTCATTTTCATTGCTAAAGCTGGAATGCATAACAAGGCAGGTTCTGCTCGGAGTATTTACCAGAATGGAGGAATCCTCAGCTGTCATTGGTTACTGGGTATCCAGGTCACTAAGGGCAGGGCTCTTACCCTGATGTTATTGTAGCAGCTGTGTAGGCAGTGAAGGGAGGCATAGACACTACATCTGACGTCTAAAAAACTCCCTGCAGGTTTCTGAGCCCAGTCAGTCTGGAGTCAGATCCACACTGTGGTAGGGCAGGGAGGGTGGGGCCACGCCTAGTCTCTCCCAGTTTGTTATTGTTGAGACGGCAAGACGCTGAATGTTTCTCGGTTTTCCACTGGTTGTTTGGATAGTTTATTTAAAGTGTTTATTTAGAATTACCTAAGAAGTTTATTTTTGCTAACCTCCTGTTCCCTGCAAAGGGACCTGTCACAAGAATGTGTGGAAATAAAGATCTGAGAGGGGAAAAAATATCAGCATCGTTCCTACAGAGAATGTCTTCCGGCCGGTTTTGTGTGGTTCTTTCAGACTCGAGTGAAAGCCAACCTGGGTTTCTGTCCATGTTCCCATGGTAGCCCTGAGTTATTAGAAAGGTCACGGATGGAAACTTCAGTTCTCCAGTTCCCCTGAGAGTAGAACCCTGTATTGTAGGCACAGACTAGAGAGCGCGCAGTGACTAACTTGTCTCCAAGTGGGGACTTGACAGTTGGCACTAAAATGTCATCACAACCTGGAAGACGGTGGCCAGCAGGAGGAAACAGCTACCCATTCTGCCCAGGATGGAGGAGGGTGCCAAGGTACAGTTCTTCAGCGCTAAAACCAGCGTTGTCTTGGGCAGGAGCTGGACAGCTGGTTAACTCAAAACACAGTTTGTAAGGTTACCCATGGCCATTTCTCAGTATCTTTCCAAAAAATAAAATAAATCTAGCAGCTTAAAACAGAGAAGCGGGTGACTGTTTGTTGTCGGTCTATAATCTAGTCTTTTATCAACACAAATAAGAACACGAATGGTTGTATTTCTTCTCTCTGGTGGGAGCTAACAGCACTGGTGGGGACATGAGAGCATGCACTGTTAGTTACTTTTCTGCTGCTGGAATAAAAACAGTGACTCAAAGCTACTTTGGGGAGGAAAAGGCTCATTTGACTTCCCTGCACAGATCATAGCCCATCACTGAGGGAAGCCAAGGCAGCCACTCAAGCAGCCCAGGAACCTGGAGGCAGGATGTGAAGCAGAGGCTGTGGGAGAAGGTTGCTTTCTGGCTTGCTGTCCATGGCCAGCTCAGCCTGCTTTCTTAGATAATGTTGGACTACCTGCCCAGGGGTGGCAACACCCACATCAGTTATTAATCATAGACATCCCCCACAGACATGCCTGCAGATCAGGTCATGGAGACATTTTCTCATCTGGGATTCCCTCTTCCAGATGAATCCCCCTACCCACTTTGCACCAAATTGGCAAAAGCAAAAGAAAACAAATAACAAGGTAACCAACACCCTCACTGTTTCCACTGCTCCTGGGGGCAGGAATTCACGTTTAAAAAGGAGGTTGTTCTCTGTGATTCTAACATACATCCCAAGAAATTCAGAAAGCATGAAGTAACAGATCAGACACCATGTGTCTCTGGGTGTGCTGCTGCGTGGCTTCAGCAACACGTTTATTCCCGAGTTCTCGAGTTCTGAGACTACAAGCCAAGAATGCTAACAAATTTGCTTCTACTAGGTAAGTGCTTGCTTCCTGACTTATAGACAGACGCCTTAGAGTTGTCTTCACGGAGCAGGGAGAGAGATCGCTTCTCTTGGTCCACTTTATAAGGACATTGCTCCTACCTACCAGTGCCCCCCGCCACTGCTGCCACAGTCTATCTCCAGATGTCATTAATGGGGGGTTAAGGCTTCAGACATAAACTTTCAGGGACAAGGAAGCCCATGGAAGCCTCTGTTTTTAAAATGCTTTTCCCACTAGCTGTGTTGAAGCACATGTCGTCAGCTAGCTAGGACACTCTACGGTGGCCACAAATGATTTTGTACCTTGCTGCCATCCCACAGGCCTGAGGATGGGGAGAAGAGCTGTTAGCCTGTTGAGCTGCCACACTCCTGAGGAAGACAAGGGCCCTGCTTTCACCCTTTAACCCTTTAACCTTTTAACCCTTTAACAGCCAAGCTGCTTTTGTACCTACCTTATCTCTGGCTCGAATTCATTCTTTCCCCACTAATTGCCCCATCTTTCATGTCTTCTGCTCCACGTGTTGCTCTCTCTGGATAAGGACAGTGAGCAGCGACTACACCACACCTGAATGCTCTCCTTCCTAAGGGTTTCCTCCGCCAGACACACTAGTCCATTACCTTTAAATTTAGGCTCGTGTGAGCTCTTGGAACACGGGCCGAATGCAGACAGTCTTTGTTATAATGTGGAACAGAGGCCTTTTGTCCAGGTCCTTCTAGAGCCCTTACTGTCCTCTAACGTCAGGATCTGTCCCCTAGCATCCTGGTCTTCTGGAATCCCACCAGGATGCTCCATTGAGATCTGCGCTCAGTGTTCAACTATGTTCATAGCAGTATTTGTCATAGCCAGAACCTGGAAACAACCTAAATACCCCTCGACTGGAGAATGGATAAGGAAAATGTGGTACATTTACACAATGGAGTAATACACAGAAGAAAAAAAATAATGACATCTTGAATTTTGCAGGAAAATGGATGGAGCTAGAAAACATTATTTTGAGTGAGGTAACCCAGACACAGAAAGACAGTTATCACATGTACTCACTCATAGGTGGTTTTTAAACATAAAGCAAAGAAAACCAACCTATAAACCACAATCCCAGAGAACTTAGACAACAATGAGGACACTAAGAGAGACTTACACCGATCAAATCTACATGGGAAGGAGAAAAAGACAAGATCTCCTGGGTAAATTGGGAGCATGGGGACCTTGCGGGAGGGTTGAAGTGGAGAGGGGAGAGGCAGGGAAGGGAGCAGAGAAAAATGTAGAGCTCAGTAAAAATCAATTAAAAAAAAGAATGTGCACAAATCAAAAAAAAAAAAATCTGAGTTCAACATGCCATAGGCTCTCTTGCCCTTATTTCTAAACTTTCCATATTCTTCCTGCAAACCAATTCCAAACACCCAAGAACCACAGTGAGGCCTCCTACAGCAGTGAAGCCGCTCCAAATGCCCATCTTCCGCGTTATTTTCCTCATTGCTACGATCAAACAACCAACAAGAAGCAAAAGGGTTTATTCTGGCTTTTAGATGGAAGAGATGTATGTGCGTGCACATGTGTGTGTTCACATGCATGAATGCTTGTCGCGCGTGTGTGCATGCATGTGTGTGTACCTCTCTGTGTGTTTATATATATATATACACACACATAATACATAATAATATATTACATACATAATACATACATAAATACATACACACCATGGTGGGGAAGGTAGGTTGCCGAATCACCAGGCAGAGACACAGAGTCTGCAGTCTGGAAGCAGAGAGTAGATAGAAAGTAGGACTCAGGCTAAGAAACCTCAAGGCCAATCTCCAATGGCCCACTTCATCCAACTAGACCCTTGCCTCAAGAGCAGTGGGGGCCAAGTGTTCAAACACGAGTCTATGAGGGGCATTTCACTTTCAAACCATAACCGGCTTCAAGGAGCCCAGAAAAGCGCTCCGGCATAGAGCCACATCGCCAACTCCAGTCTTCATTTTATTTTATTTTATTTTTTTTAAATATTTATTTATTTATTATGTATACAATATTCTGTCTGTGTGTATGCCTGCAGGCCAGAAGAGGGCACCAGACCTCATTACAGATGGCTGTGAGCCACCATGTGGTTGCTGGGAATTGAACTCAGGACCTTTGGAAGAGCAGGCCATGCTCTTAACCACTGAGCCATCTCTCCAGCCCTCCAGTCTTCATTTTAAACACACAAATTGACAATAACACAAGTTTCTCTTTATTGGCATTTTCTTCTCGGTCCCTATTACTTTCCTCTAAGGAAGGTTTTGTGCAGTCTTGCTACAACAGAGGCGGCTCTGGACTGTGCAGGGGCTCTACCTGCAATCGGGGGCACGCTCTTTCCTGCAAAAAACCTCCAACTTCAGAAGAGTCTTTCCGACACGGTAGAGATGACAGGGGACATTCTCCTTGGTGAGAGAATTATCAAAGTGACAAAAAAAAAAAAAAATAACCAAAGCAAAAGGTCATCTAGAAGGGCGTCCGCACTTGAGATATGGAAGTCAAGGGTAGTGCTGTTGCAAACAGCCTTAAAAACCTGCAGCGACAGCTAAATTTCACCTTCTAGTTGGACAGAGAGTTGTTCAGCATCCTAAAAGCAATGCCAAGTCTTTCGTGGAGCTTTCTTTGGGGTACATGGGGGGGCTCAGTCTGCCACACTGTGCTTGGCCTTGCCTGCCACGGTGTTCTGAGGGATGCTGGTGCAGAAAGCTGCCTTGGTTTTCGGAGATTGCCTCGGCTTCACGGCAACCTCAGAGATCCTGTAGACAGAAAGAAGACGGGTGAGTCTGGCCCCTTAGAGCACCACAGTTCCCACCAGCCTCAGCTGTGAAGAAGCCTCAGGAGGGGATCCAGGTGAGGAAGAGTCATGGCAGGAGCAGCAACACAGGTGCGTTTCTGCTCTTTTAATACCTTGCGGCCATCTTCCCCGAGCTGAGGCAGTCAGGTCTGAGGTAGGTCAGTAGGAGGGTGAGAGAGGAAAAGACTGTCAAGTTCTGGTGGGAGGCTTGTTGGCTCACGCATGCCATCCTAACGGGGAATGGTACCCTTTCTGGCTGGTCTGTGCCTCCAGTGAAGCCACTTCTGTCATTTCCTGACGGGGACCTGACCCTCAGCCCAGAGGCCTCCAGGGAATACGTGCAATGGAGGTCCTCCCTGGTAGTGCCAAGCTTCTCTCTTTGCTGAGAAAAGACACAGGGCCAATCTTCAAGCCACAGTTCTGATATCACCCCCACGCCCCGCCCGCCCCATCAGGAGCTGAGGTCAGCCCAAGGAAGAACTCCGGAGGTAAGGCACGCAAACTTGCAGGGGCCGGTCTCTGTGAGGAAGCCAGAGTGTGTTTCAACATTCTTAAAGAATGAATTCCTTTCTAATATTAGGGCAAGGAATATGTTTTATAGCTGGCTTCTCAGAGGACCTAGTCTTACATTTAACTATATAAGCTGTGGGAAGCCAATGAAATGCCCACAGAACCTTCTAGTGGCAGCCTTCGGGTTCTGATTAGTGAAGATATGTGATACTTAGAGCAAATGCAAGGGAAGCTGACTCACTTGGACAGTGTGTCTATGGTCTGCTGCGTGGCCAGGGTCCTCTTGTCCTGCGATCCATACAAGAACGTCTCAATCTGAACACACTGCGGAACACCAAGGAGTCTTCGTGAGGTTATGGAAATGTCATGGGGAAATAAAGTCTCCTTTGAACTAGAGAAAGAATGCTTCATTCTTAGACCAGTGCTGTGATGGAGTCAGTGCCCTCTGGGGGCTTCTCTAGGGACAGCCTGACCTTTCAATCAATCGTTCTTAGGGATCCAGGACACAGACGTACAATGTGAGCGCTACTTCAGAACCCTCTGTGTGCAAGCATGCATTTAAAGGTAGCGTTTTTAAAAAGCAAGGCAAGCATGTTGGCTGACTTTTGCTTCGTTTCCTTCTTTTGCTCAAGTTTTGGCATTTTGTTGTTTATGCCCAGTCAGGACAAAGTTGAGGAAGGGGAAAAGAATACAGAAATTCTAAAATGCTCCAAGTCAGTCTGAAGAATGAGGTGGAGGAGTTTGCTTTGACGACATTCTGTAAAACTACGGTGATGAAGGCAGTCCATCTTTCATCCAGTCAAGTAGACGAACGGGAAAGGCAGGGACCTCAGTACTCTGTAGCTCATGAACTGTCCTTGAGTGGCCAGTGATGGAGAAGAGGGTTACTCAATAGATGGCATCAGGACCACAGTTTTGCAGATGAAAGAAAATGGAACCTAGCTCCCACAAAACAGAAAAAACCAAGCCCGAAACATGTAAGGAGTAAAACATGCAGTGCCGAGCTTGGAGGTTCCCTAGGAAAACCCTGAGGAACAGCCTTCCGGGCTGAGGTAGGAAGCTATTTTCTGAGACAAGCTGCCCACAACAAACTACTGAAGGAATGTGACCGGCTGTGTGAACATGACCAACAGCTTTGCAGCCAAGTTCAACTATAAGCAAAGAACAAGGGGTGAGGGGGTGGGTAGTATCTGCAGTGTATCTTCATCTTCCTAAGGGCTGGGTAGCATTCAGAACACAAGCAGAATGTCTAAGAGGTAACGAGGAACCATGGCAACAACCTCCTGGAAGAAGAGGGATCAAAAGGTAGAGTTAGTTATTCAAGTTGGAAGGAAACTGGCCAATAAGCGGGCTCCGACTCACTAATAACTGGAAATGCAAGCAAAAACTGAAGAGTGCACTTTGTAATAAATGGGAAAATGATGCTCCAATGCTGTCAAGATGATGCCAAAGAGGAAATAACAAGAACTGTTATAAAGTTTTGTACATCGGTAATGGGTATTTAAGTTGGTGTAAGCCTCTGTACACACTTTAGCAATATTTGATAAAGTTTAAGTAAAAGTTAAATAAAGAGTGATATGCCTGTTTGGTTTCTAATGAGAGACAGAAAAGGAGTGATCTGGATGGGAGAGGAGGAGTGGAGGAAGGGAAAACTATAATCAGAATGTATTATGTGAGAAAAAAATCTATTTTCAATAAAAAGAAAAAATAAAACCCAATAATATTTTATATACACAGTAAAAATAAGTATATACTAAAGTAGAACAACAAATTATAATTTTAGAAAGTACAAAAAAAAAAAGAATGACAAAGAAGTGCACGACCAGAGGGAGTTTTATGTGATGCTTGAAACACGAAAAACCAACCATAAGCATGGGAACAATGTCAGCTTCAAGTTATATGGGGACTGGGAAGTCGATGGAACTTCATCTGTGTGGCTTGCCCTTTGCTCCTTGCTCTGAATCAAGAGTTCAAAGGTTGTTTCACATCACAAATGCTTTCCTGCACATCTGAACTATTTCTCAATACATCTTAAGGACTGAAGTTGTCTCCCTGGCTAAACTGCTTGAATCAGAAAGAGACGAGTATGGACTCAGAACACGTCCATCCACTCATATTTGGGGACCATTTTTAGATCTTTAAGAAAGTGAAGATGCACGCAGCCTAGGGGCTTTGTCTTTAGAAGCTGTGGAAGCTGTCAGGGATGCCCGGGTATGTGTTTTGATGTGGGGATTAAGAATGTGATTCTGGTCTTGTGGAGGATAGAAATATAGGCATGAATAGAATAGAATTTTATTTTTTAAATAACAAAAACGATTCCCTGTTTCTTGACTGAATTAACTACATGAAGAAGTAGTAGGCTCTTTCTCCTATTTCATTTAGTTTCTATCAAATTCTGCTAACGCAAGGATCTCCATGCAACAGGTCCTGGCCTTTCTAAACCTACACAGGGGCCTCAGCCTGGCCTTGGCAATAGGTTTCTCATTCCAGGGACTTTTCCAGGATCACTTTAACCCACAGATGCATCATATGACCTTAGGACCTCGGGAACCTTGAGGAACAGCCATTGTTTTGAGTGGAGGTATAGCACATGCTTTTCACAGTTGTGAGAACTTGGTGATAACACTTTCAGTCCTCAGCGTGAGAGGCAGCATATAGACCCTTTCTTACCGCACACAGCAGGGCAGAGAGAGGAGTCACTGAGAGATAGACAGTGGGTCCAAGGGGCAACCATGTATCCCCTCCCCCATCTCACTCTCCCTTCCAGAACCCGCTTTCTCTCTCCTTCATGAGCAGGAAGACCTGCGCTGGGTTTAAGAGAGTAGGTCTGAATTTAAGGGCACCAGACACCCCATTTACATATGCATGAGTGCTCTAATGCAGCTCTTTTGACACTGGCTGAAGCCAGCACCACTTGGTGCTCAATTCATTCACTGTAGTATTAGGATTTTACTGTCAATGTAATAAGTCTTTGCAACAGCCTGATGAGATCTCAGCTCACTCTGCTGAATGGGTGGCTTCTAGAAGCTCTACAACACGGGCGGGATTTCCATCCTACCTCTTTGGTGATTGAAGGGTCTTCTCCCTGGCCCCTAATTCCCTAGGGAAGAGACAATTGGGTCAATAGTCACAAATTCCCAGGAAGCATGAGAAGCTAAGTGGTAAGATTCAGGCAAATTCCCCCAGGCTCTACTACGGGAGGGGTCCCTTCCTTCTAGACCAAGCTCTCTGGCAGCATTAGAAGAGGGGAGAGCAAAGTTAGGAGAGGGGGTGAGTCTGGAACTCTGCTCAACAAACAAGTCCTAGAGGTCCCTCCCCAAGATGCCTCTCTTGTTGGCAGAAATAGATGCCCCAACCCGTGGCTAATGTCCCCACAAAAAACATTTGCTTACAATTCCAGCCCAGGAGACACACGAATGTCAAATAGGAGCCAGGGGTCCCCACCTTAGCCCCTACCTAGTCTTATCGATGATTCTGGCACCCAAAGAGGCAGGGCAGAAACCTGGGGGAAAAAGCTTGTCCATCTTCTTCAACCGATATTTTTTTATTTTTAACATCCCAGATTAGCCTTAAAATCCCTCAGTAGTAGGGAGGATAACCTTGAAGTTCTGATCATACATCTTGGGCTGGTAGAGTATTTGCCTACCATGTATCAAGCCCTGGGTTCAATCCCCAGCACCGTATGAACTGAGAGAAGAAGTACATGTCTCTAATCCCAATACTACAGGGGAATTAGAAATCAAGGTCATCCTTGAGTACATACGAAGGTTAAGGCCAGCGTGGGCTACATGAGGCCATCGAAAAAAATTAAGTAAAACACTGCTATAGTATATTAGGTAAATAAAAACAAAACACAGTAGCCCAATGCATTGAAAAGGAAATAAAAGCACTAATATAAGAGTCAAAACTTTATTTTTCTTTAAAATAAACCCAAAACTTTATTTTACATATAACAGTATGATTTGTATATTAAATAACACCATAATAGAATGATTTGAAATAGTTTTAAGTAGAATAAAAATTGGGAAAAATTTCTGGGTTTTCTTTATACTGTTTTCTATTGTCCAAGTTTCTCCCAATTGTATTCTTTTTAAAGATTAAAACAGCTTTTAAATTATATGTCCTAATAGCATAGCGATATTTCATATTTCATATTTACTAATGTCAGCTAGTGAAAGCCATCCTTAAAAAAAACTTCTGAAAACAGCTTTATAAAAGTAAACTTAGCGTCCTCCAGAGAGGACATCTGAAGATGGGAATGCTGAAGCCCCACCTGGTCTCCCTCCATCTCTTCACGCTGACATCAACAGGGGCAGGTTTACCAGCCTAGCCCTACACTGAGACACCGACGGCACAAACCAAAAGCTCCTAACAAAGGTAAGACCTCACAAGAGATCTATATACCCTCCCCTCTCTTCCTCCCTCCCCCCTCAATGTTGCCTTTACCCCAGGCTGACTTCGAACTAGAACTGGCTGTGTAGCAAAGGATGACCTTGAACTTCTGATCCTCACACCTCCTGAGTGCTGAGATGCAGGGTGGGTGCCCATGCCCAGTTTACAGGGTGCTGGGGATGCTAGGCAAGCGCTCTACCAGCTGAGCCACAGGCACACTGATATTCTGAGAAATACTGTTAAAAGAAAGTTTAAAAACAGTGACTCCATAAAAATACAGCGGTGATAGCTGAGGGTGAAGCCAATTGGGGTTACACTCAGTGGGCTGTGCACCAAAAGACCGTTTTAAGAGAACGGGAAAACCTATTACAGCCTCTGCTAGAAGCTGTTCAATAGCTGTCTATTTATCTCAGGAATACAAATTGAATTCTTTAATGTTCTGCTTCACTTAGCTGAATTTGCTTAAACATGTGTGTGTGTGTGTGTGTGTGTGTGTGTGTGTGTGTGTGTGTGTGTGTGAAATCAGTGTGGTGTTTTGATTCTTTTGTTAAAAACAGAGACTATGATAGAGTCAAGTCAATAAATGTTAATTGAAGCACTGGAGACATCTGGCTTGGCTACGGAAAGAGCCTTCAAGCCTTGGTATTAGAACATTCTCCACCAGAATAAAGGTGCCCTGAGCTCTATTGTAACAGAAACCAATGTACCCATCTTTAAACCAGCCACAAATGGCATTTCTCAAGTTTTTAAAGTAAAGCATAGGTATTGTAAGGACACAGTGGAATTTTAGTGGAATATTGTGTTGCTATTATTCTCTAGTTTTATACACATGGATTGCGAGAGTCACAGCCAGGCCTGTTTCTAGTCTTCCTTAAATATCAGACAGAAAGCTTTCTTCCCTGATTCCAAGATTTGCATTGGACACCTGCCTTTCTCTTACTGCAGCAGTTCCCAAAGGGGCCCAGCCTGTCTTGCTCACACGGAGCCAGTCACCGTCTCTGGCACATGGAAGCAAACAAATGGATGATTAGCAACGGAACAAGCAGATGAGTTGAAGACAGTTATGTGGCGTTCATGTGCATGCATGTATGTGTGTGTGCACATGAGGTATGTGTGGGTATGCAAGTGCACTTGTGCACATGTGTGGGAAGCCCAGGGGCTGACGTCACATGTCTTCCTCCACTACTCTGCGTCTTATATTTTTGAGACAGGGTCTATCCTGGCTAGCCAAAGGCTCTAAGGATATTCCTGCCTGCCTCCCCAGGGCTGGGATTACAGGTGCACACCACCACACCTACATTTAGGTGGGTGCTGGGGATTGAACTCAAGCCCTCACAGAGCAACCAAGTGAACCATCTCTCTGGTCCTTTATGTGGCACTTTGAGATGTCGCTGGCTTCAGTGATCTGCCAGGGGCAGAACCCTCCACTAAGAAAGCTTCAATGTGAGCATCGCTGGGAACTTTCAGACCTGTTCTCCAGGTGAGGTTGGTAAAGGATGCTTGCTCTTCCTGTTTGCTGCTTTCTCCCAGGAGTGACTCACATCACAAGGGGCGGTAAGGGACATCTCGAGCCTGGACACCGGCTTTTCTAAGTGGCCCAGGAAGCAGAGATGGAGCCACCAGCCTGTTGCTTTCCTAGCTGTGGCTGGCCTCTGTGCTTTTGATCTGAATTCTCATTTGCTCGAGTCTCTCACAGGCAAGGGAGACTCCACATTTTGCCCACGGCAAGTTAAGAATGAATGATCTTGACTTCTCAGAATATCGGTTCTCATTTTCCTACCAGGCATCTTTAAAGATTCTTTAAAGGTTCTTCCAGCATCCCTTCTCCACTGGGGAGTGGAGCTTAAGGAAAATCAACACAATTATGACTTTCATCTCTCTTTTAGAAAAAGTGTGTTTGTGTGTGTGTGTTTGTGTGTATGTGTGTGGTGTGTAGTTGTGGTGCACATACTCACATATGTGACTACAGGTATTTATATGTCGTGTAGTTGTGCATAGGCTAGAGACAACCTGAGGAGCTGGTCCTCATCTTGCACGTTTTTGAGGGAGAATCTCCCGCCCACTGCTGCACAGTCTAGGCTAGCGGGCCCAGGAGCTTCCACAGGGTTTCCTAGCCATGAGTCCTGATTCTTCCTAGGAGAATTGGAACTATGCACTACCATGCTCAGACTTACATTAGTCCTGGAAATTCGAGCTCCTATCCTCCTGCCTTGGTGGCGAGCATTTTGCCCTGAGCTATCTTCCCAGCTCAGACCTTCCTCTCTTAAAGAAAGTGGATGGCTATACCCCAACGATGACTCGGGGAGACAATGAGGAAAGCCAGGAGCACAGGGAAAGAGGATTACACAGGAAAATGATGTCTCTCATGTGGCGGCCCCTTAGGGACTCTAAATCTGGCTCTGCGTTTCCTGGCACATCCAAGGGCAACAACAACAAACAACATTTCAAATAGGAAAAGTAAATTTTGTGGGGCCGCAAACACGGGCAGATCTGGGCAATGGGGGTCCTCGAGCTGCCCCTGAAACTCTGCATCTAGGAGGGTCCGAGTGTCTGGCTGGCTGCAGGAAGCCCAGGGACGGCATGGCTTGCTCTCCATGTTGATGCAGGACCACGGAAGACCCAGGTGGTATTGATTCTCCTGTCTATATTCTATAAAACGCACCATGCTCCAGCTTGTTCTTAAAGATTGATTATAGTGGGTCTGAGGACTGTTATTATTATACAGTAATGCTGAAAGCCGAGAGCTATGAGCCCCGCCAATGACAGTCCTTGATAGGAAGGCCGGATTGAAGCCGGGCTCCAAGAGAACTTCACACTGTGCTTGGGCCTGGTATAGGGTCGTCTCTTTCTGCAGCCTCCTGCCTGGGGGAGAATGTGAGCAATGGTGCCATCCTAGATCAAAATAGGTCTCTATGTTGCCAAAGGGAGTAAGTAAGCTCGGGCTGTGGAAATTTCCATCTGGAGCCCACAGAGTTCTCCAATATTACCCTGCAGGCAGCAGCCTTTAAAAGACAGGTCAATAATTCGGTTTCCTTTCTGGTAATTCAATTCCTTGTCTGCCGTGCTTCTGGGGCCTTCTTGTTTAGCACAGCCTTGGGATCACACCTGGCCCATTTAGCACAGGAGGGGGACATCTGGAAAAGTCACACTTGGTGGAGCCTGGCTTCTGAGATGAAAACTCAGAGGGGAGGCGGTTGTGACAAAAACAAGACAAACACTTATCTAATCGCTTTTAGGAGGCTGCTGGCTTCCCAAAGCCCAGCGCTAAACACGGCCTTTGAGAAGCTCCGGGCAGCAGACGACAAAGGCATGTTTAAAGTCCCTGCCCGTGGCCTGGCATCAACAAGGCAGACAGTCCTGTCCTCAGACAAGAGCAAGTGGGGAATGAGAACCGCCCCTAGCATAGCAGGCACAGCGTTCACACACCCTGTCGCTGATGCTGGCGGAAGGCCAGAGGGCTTTAGCGCATCAGAGCCGCTGCTGTTAGGACTGGTGGTTAATGAGTCCAAACAAAGTCACCTTCCACTGTGGCTTTTGGGGTGAGGTGACCTGGAATGTTCTTGAAGCTGAGCTTGTTATCAGCCCTCTGGAGTGCTGCAGTGTCTGCCAGAGCAGATCTGCAGTCTCCTGAGAAAGCTGACAGATAGATTTCCAGATCCTGGTCCCACTCCGGAGACGACAGGACAGTGACGATGATGCGAGAGCTCTGAGCTCCGCACCTGCCAATCACTGGGACAAAGAACGAGCTTCGCTTCGCTGAAGAGCAGTGTGTTCGGACACAACCGACTTACATCGGGGTAGCCAGGCCCTCCCCTGCAGACAGTGTAGTCTGCAATGCTTAGGAAGATAAGAAATGATATCTCCCCCGGGGGTACCTGCCACATCAAACTGTCCCAAACCTGTGGTGGGAAGGACTACTAAAAACTAAATATGAGATTATTTTAAACTTTATACAAATAAATAAAAATATAAAAGTTAAAATTAATTACTTAGAAAATATTATTTATCAAAATGATTCAATTACTAATAGAAAGCTTTAATTGTTCACTTTTGGAAGAACAAATAGAGAAAAATTTACGGGAATTTTTCCACAACAAAAGCACCAGCCTAAAGGGTCTCTAGGATATAAAAATTTTCAAACACCATGCATTTTCGTATATAAAAAATAGAAGTGGATTTCATAATTATTTCTCTGAAGCAAATACAACATTGATTCTTAAATATAATATACAAATACCAGTGAAAAGACTCTGAAATAAATACTAGCCAGCAAATTCAACATCCGCTATGGCTTGAGAATTTTCCTTGAGAGGCTTGATTGGGAACTATGTAATTCCCAGCGTAATATGGCTAGGAGTGAGTGTCAGTAAGGGTCTACCTTCAGGAGCGGGTTGGTGCTGTTATCTTGAAAAGACTGAATTCAGTCTCCCTCATTTTTCTTTTCCCTGTCTCTCTTGCCTTTCTGATTTTTTTGTTTTTGAATGAACAAAACAGAAAGGCCACCATCAGATGTAAGCTGCTTGACTTTCAACTCCCTAGTCTCTCTTCATAAACTCCTCAGCCCTGACATTCTATTATAGTACAAGATAGTACAAGATAGACTCAGATAACACCATTTTTAGAAAAATAATCCAAATGACCAAGGAGAAGATTTATCCCAGGAATGCAAGGATGGTTGGACATCACAATAACATAATACACCAGATGAACTGAATCTGAAGGGACTCATGTGATCATCCCTGCTAATGCTGAAAAATAAAACTGATAAAAATTGACGTCTATTTCTAATTGTAAAAAGACTCATGAAACTAGAAATCTTAGCATGATAAAAGCACGCAGACCTTAGTTCCAAAGCCCACCTCTCTGATACGACAACTCTCACTGGGAAGCAGGCAAGGGAACCCACTCTCTCCTCTATTGCCCGTTACTGCGCTGCACGTGGGAGCCAAAGCAACCAAGTCAGTGAGAAGCATGGGATTAGAAAACATAAAGTAAAACCATGTCTACCTGCAAACAGTATAATAGTATATCTAAAAAATTTGAGAGAATCAGTGTTCAATTTAAACCAATCAATAGAAAACTAAGCTAGCTAGAAAGGTTATTAAATTAAAGCACAAATCCCAGTAATCCTTAGATATACAAAGTCTATAATAATGAATAAATCTCCACTTGCATTATCAATAACAAAATGCACAGAAATACGCTTAAAAATACGCATTACTTGGAGACGGCACACTTTTCAATGTGCATGAGAGACACAATGCAGAGCAAACGGGATAGCAGCCCTTGTTCCTGGGCAAGACTCAACACCATAAGAATGTCATTTTCCCAAAATGTATTTGTAAATACTTTAATAAAGCAAATTCTTTATGGGAGATCTATCTATCTATCTATCTATCTATCTATCTATCTAGGTATATATAGTAGAAAAACAATCAAGTTTCTAGAAACCCTGATGTTTTATGGGAAAAGCCATGAGCTGTCTTGTACTTCCTCACATTAAATCATTCCACGGAATCTCCATAACTTAAAATGTGAAATATTGGCACCTAAATAAAAGGAGATTAGCAGACCAAGACAGAAATTCAGAAACAAGCTCAGTGCATGTGGGAATTTAGTGTACGGTGGAGGTGTTATCCTAAGTCTGTGTCTGGGGCAGTGTTGGACTCCTTGATGAAATGGTGACGGACAAGCCAATAATCAGGGCATTTCTGCTATGGGTATTGGGGGAAAAAACGATGCCTTGTACCAGCTACATAAAACAAACAAACAAACAAACACACAGAAACTCTAGGTTGAAAGGAAGAGCAGAAGAAAACAAGCACCAAAAATTCCTTCATGAACTGGGCATGCAGAACACAGCAATAACGAGAAAGGCTTAGTAAGTTAAACTATAAAATATTCTAAAATATTTGGATCGTTAAGCATGGTTGATAATTCATTTTTTGAATGTATCTATCTTAGAGGAACTCTTTTACCCCACCCCCATCGTTAGTTTAAATCTACCCCAAAAGTGATGCTCTTCTACCTAAATAAGCCATTATACATTTTTACTTAAAAGTAGTGCGGTGGAGGGAAAGGCCGGGACATGGAAAGTGAGGGAGCGCTCCCTTTGGGTCAGTGCTGGCTTCTACTTTACCTTCTTTAGTTTCATGTGAGCTCTGCTGTGGTTTCCCTGGGCCAGGTCTGCCCTGCCCAGGAACCGGTATGTTTCTGCCACCTCAGGGCTGAAGTCACCAAATGCTCCGACTTTGGCTTCCAGGGACTCTCTCAGGATCATGGTGGCTCTCTGAGAAAAGGACAAAATGCTCTGTGGTTTAAAAGTACAAAGGATTGCTTCATGGTTGAAGGCGATTGCTATTGTTGTTGAGGACCCAGGTTCGGCTCTCAGCACCCACGTGATAGCTCACAATCTCTGTAACTCCGTTTCCAGGGGATCCACCATTGCCCTGCTCTGGCATCTGCAGGCATCAGGCATACACAGATATACGCAAAACATACACAGATATACATGAAGCAAAACACACAGAGACATGCAAAGATAGAGATAAATAAATCTTTAAAGAAGTTCAAGGACTAAGTAAGATCTGTGCCTCTCAGGAAAAATCCTGAATTGATACACATTTAACGTTTTAAAGACATGTTCTTAAGAGCTTGCATATTGACTTCTGGTTAAACAAGAGGCAGGGACAACTTACCTGGGCAGAGGAGGTACAAACCATGAAGACAGAAAGCAGTGTGGACACCATGTGCTATGGCTAGAACCCGTTCCAGCTAGCAGCACGAGCAGAGCTAGGCTGCATGGGACCCTTCTGTGTAGGGGGCTCAGTTCATGTGTGATCTGCCTTGTCCTTCAGATGTACACAACCTTATCTTCTGACCCAGGACAGCAGCTGAGAACTTCCCCGTTCCTATAGGCTCATGGTGGTGGAACTGGAATCTGCTACCTTGGCCCTTTGTAGGCCCGGGCTCTTCTCCCTCCATGCTCACTACTCCTCTCGCAGAAGAGAAAACCAGGCTGTACTGCGGATACTACTTCCGGACTTCCTGTTCTCTCAGAGGATGCTCAGGGAGCCAAGTGAACATTCCACGGAGCATGCATGCTATCATGCGTTGCTTGCTTTGTTTATTCATTTATGCCAACATGGAATAGAAAAATCTGAGTTGGTTAGAAAATGATATTTCCTGATTATTAATTTTTGTAGATACCAAGATGTACGGGGGGAAGTCTGAGCTTCCAACACATTCTGAAATTCTTTCCAGATCTTCCACATGAAAACATAGCTATGACTGCACAACACGAATGCCGAATTCAACAGCCAAATAAAGTCAAGACCTGTGTGTGTGTGTGTGTGTGTGTGTGTGTGTGTGTGTGTGTGTGTAGGGGAGGTGGCAGGACAGGGAGCCAGGCACGTCCTGATCCCGTGCCACAGACAGGCAGGCTAATGAATGAAGAACATTGTTCCTTTTTGGCAGTAACATTAGTTAGGGACTGGGGCTGGCACACTGAGGGTGGTGATGAGTAGCAACGACTTCCTTAGGCAAAACAACTGTGTAACTTGCCAAGTGTGGCTCGTGAAAGAACTCAGAGGTCCGGGATCTCCACGAAAACCTGCCTGTGCCCATCCCCTCCCAACACTGGTCAGTAAAGACTACGATGGAAACAAGAGTTGGGCAAGGTAGTTTTCCGGTGGGATTTGACTGTTGGGCTTTGGGAAGCCAGTCAGTGATGGGGAAAAAGGACAAGAGGTCCCTTTCCTAAATGAAGCCTTTAACACTGCTGACCAGTCAGTGTAGCCTAACTGGTGGGCTGTAGGAAGACGCTGCCTTAAAGGAGGTGGGAGGCCTTCCTGAGGATGCCATCTGAGTTTGTCCTCTGCCCTCCACATGTGTTCAATATGTGCACACACATGCACCTGCACACACATGAACATGTAGACACACATGCATTAAAATACGAAAGCTATTATTACAAGAAATTAGGTTAGGGAGAGGAACAAAGTGAGCCTGGAAATATCAGCAGAATCTAGACATTAGAAGGGCCATTTGCCACAAGGCATTAAAGGTCATGGGGAACCAATGAGAGAGCTCACTGATCGGGGTGCTTTCAAAATCTGAATGGATCAGACAAATGGGAACGAAGACCCTGGGAAAGGGAAGGTGCTAGGGAGGTCCTGACAAGATATGGTGCCTGGTAGGAGGGCAGATGTCAAACCCTGCGTGTATGAAGGACATTTGGAGGAGAATGAGGAACCTGTGAAATCCCCAGAGGACCAAGGGTCTGGGGTAGGAATTCAAGGCCCTGGCAGGGCCCTCTGTCGTTGGTTGGGTGGATTCAGAAGAACAGGGAAACACTAGTGGATCTGCCTGGCAAACTGATGGTGTGCAGAATAAAAGCCCATGTTCCTTAACTGAGAGAAGAGAGATGAAGGACGAGGAAAGAGCTATGGGGAGGAGTCCCCAGATAACAAAGAAAAAGACGCTTTATCCTCATCTTCAAGATTTGCTATGCTAGACTGAAAATACACACACGCATACACACATACACACACGCTCGCGCATACACATGCACACACACACACACACCAAACCTCTACTATTCTTTCTGGAGCTGCTACAATTTACAGGGAACAGGTAATTTTTTTTTAAATATAATATAAGCTTGGACAAGTATAAACTCTGGTTTTGTTCCACTTTTCTAAGCCACATAGAGCATGCCTTTACAGACCAGCAGTAGAGAGAGTGAGCTGAAACCTCTGTGCTGTGTAGTTTTCCCTTAGATATGAAAATTCCATTCAATACTCAAAACCAGACACTGACAGCCACACGCCACCCCAGCTGGAAGAACCACCTGTAGTGAGTAGGGGTTTGCCAGCTGAGTTCTCAAGGTCTCAATCCCTTGTGATCTATATAGTTGGATGCAGCATTTACTTTCTCACAGTTCGGTTTCTTAGAGAAAGTATGTGGATGCTCCTTGATTTGTTTATCTGGCACTCCCCAGAGGCTAGGACATCCCTGGAGATATTAGCTGTGTAATAGATGCTTGAAGACTGAAGGCGTAGTCTTTGCACCCGTGTGAATAGCTTGACAACTGTGCTCTAAATCCACTTACTTCTTTTTGTCCAGTGATTTGCAGAAAATTGCAAAATTCGTCTTGAATCAAAAGGAACTTGGCTCTTCCTGCTCCTTCGGAATCCTTCACGTGACCCATGCTTTCCTGGAAATACTGCTCGGCCATATCTGAAAAGAGCGCAGAACGCCACTTTTGAAAATAGCCCAAAGATCCGAAGCAGAGATGGAGGAAATATTCTGTGAGTGACGGTGAAAAGTTTAAAAATAAGCGCTTGGACAAGAGAAGCCAGTTCCAGAGACTCTCCTGGGCTCGTTAATCTGCTTGTTTTAGCAGAAACTATTTTCACTCAAAAGGACACAGCAGCCGGGCGATGGTGGCGCATGCCTTTAATCCCAGCACTCGGGAGGCAGAGGCAGGGGGATCTCTGTGAGTTTGAGGCCAGCCTGGTCTACAAGAGCTAGTTCCAGGACAGGAGCCAAAAAAAAAAAGCTACGGAGAAACCCTGTCTCGAAAAATCCAAAAAAAAAAAAAAAAAGGACACGGCAATTGGCAATTTACTTTCTTATTTTTCAGACATCTCAGTGTTCTTGGTGATACAGAAAGTGTTGGGGGTGGGGACTATCCCAGACCTAAACACACTAGAGGATTTTCATGTGGATAGATCATTTTCTCTGCCTAGAAATAAGGCACTCCTCACAACTCATACAGTTTTATGGACTCTGACTGCCATCTTGTTATATATATTCTATAACACATACACACAAATATCGCACAGAACAACAACACACATAGAAAATCTGACTGATACACTACTGAAGAAAAATCCCAACCATTCTAAACTCTTCAACACGTGGACTAATGAAACAAGAGTAGTTTGACGTAAGTGGCGACCATAGGAGTGAGAGAGGGAGCCCGGCAAAGGGAACCGAACCACAGAGCTGCAGCTGCACGCAGCCCTGTCATTATAACAAGTAACTGAGATAAATCAGCATAACGTGAGGGACAGTTAACCGCGCTCACTCATGGAGGTCTCAGCCTGTGACCCAGCAGCTCTGCGGCTTCTGGTGATGATGTGATGTGTAACGGTGAGTGTGTCCCGATAACTAGAAGTGAGGAGAATCAGGGAGGAGCTGGGTTCCCAGCCTCACTGCCTAGAGATTCTACCACTGGTCCATAGTGCCATAGACTGGGGACCAAGCCTTTAACACCCTGGGGTCTTGGGAGGATATGTGGACAAAGTAACCAAACCCTAGGAAATAGGGAGCTTACTGAAGTTAAACAGTAAAAGGAAAGGTGTTAGCTCAGGGACCCCAAAGCCAAATTCTCCGCATGAAGGAGATTTGCTTGCCCCAGAGGGACAGAGGGCAGGGATAGGATATAAACACAGGAGATAGAGGACTAAGGGACAAGGGGGAAGGGGTAGGGGTGTTTCCCCGAGGGACAAAGGGCTGCCTATAGATAGAAGGGGACAGAGGTGGCACACAGGCAAATGACAACTATAAAGGGTATAGGAGGGAGCCTTGTGTTAGGATGAGGTATTTAATTTGAATTAGGTATGTTAATTAGGTGAGCCAAAAGGGGGCTTCTGATTGCTGGACCTCAAATACTTTGATAGTTGGACCTTGGTAGTCAGCCTCAGGAGGAGGAAGTGGCCAAGTAAGGGAGCAGAACCTGGGGCTAGCTACAGGAATGCAATCTAATGGATTTTAGCAAGGGAAGTGGGGAGGGCAAGGCATGCCAGAGCCATGCTTGCCTTAGTCAAGCCGCCAGGGTCCCTTCAAACAGTCCCCGGCTTAGTAGAAAATAGTATGTTCACTCGGTGTTTGGGTTCTCCAAGCCTGAGCAGGACCGGGGATGAGACCTGAAGTCCGTTTGAATGGTCAGAAACTGAGTGAAGCTCCCTGCCCAGAGCCAACCTGGTGCTTCTAAGATGTCTCCCCTGCTGCTCATTCCTGAGGCCTCATCCTCTGAGCTATCTCAACTACAATGTTTGTATGTGACAGAAGAACACACATGTGGAAAATATAACCTGCAAAGTTGATATTGCTTGGATACATGCTTTACATTAGTTTGGAATTAAACAAATCTTTAAGAGCAAACAAGAAAGAAAACAAATACAGCCAGAACGATGGTCTACATGTTGAGTGCCCCTCACATTCTTGTTAAAATTCTAACCTCTAAGGTGATAGCATTTCAAGGGAGCCTTTTAAAGGTGATGTCATGAGGATGGGAACCCTCATGAATGGGACTTGTGCCACTGTGAGTCAGATGGACAGTTGTCTTGACCCTATGTGGAGAATCAGGGGAACACAGCTGTCTGTGGACCAGAGGCAGCTCTACCTTGACCTGGAGCGTCCCAATTTCCAGGATTTTGGAAAACAATTATAAGCCACCTAATTAATGGTGTTGTTGGAGCGGATGAACTCAGCCAAAGGCCTCTACAATGGAAATGAGTATAACCGCACAGGTCTGAGTGGAGGCTTTTAGCCTTTCCACCCTCAGAGGGCAAAGGATATTCGAGACACAGGTTCAATACAGTGATGAACACGCTCACTAAAATGAAAAGCTTCTGTATATTAAGCAGTTGCATGCCCGTTTTCATAGTTGTAGCTCTGGGCTTCTCTCATGCCAGCTGAAAAACACATGCATCAGAAGTGGCAGGCAGCCAAGATGGACACCGAGCAGACAGAGACACAATGGGAATGGACAGACTGACCCGAAGACACAGAAACCTCGGACCGTCTGCTGATAAGCGGTCCTGTGTAGCGCGAGCTCTGAGAACACGGCTGAAATTTGCAGCAGGAGTCTTGGGTGCTGAGAAACAATCCACGCACATTCCTCCCTCCCGTGAGATCTTCAGAAAGGGCAGAGGTAAACACCTGGGGAAAGAGTCTTCCAGATAGAAACAACGGCAGAAAACTTGGGTCTGGGAACAAGCCGTGGTCATCTGCAAGGTCCCTGCCACTTTCTCCTGGGCATGTCCCATTCCAGGCTCTTTAGAGGGATCAACAATAACTGATCTGAACAGCCCTAATTTTCTCCCAGAGCAGCAGGTGCATTCCTATGGTCGTATCCACGTTTTATGGGAGAAGGTTCTCCCAGATGGAAGACATCATCTCATTGCTGACGCCTTAAACAAAGTTGGACCCTGACACTCACTTTGATAATCTGACGACGGGGGGGGGGGGGGGGGGTGCGGCATTTACTTTATAGATAAAAGCTTAACACGAACATTCCAAGTCTGATGAGACTGGGGTTTCCTGGAGTGATATTTTGATTTTCTAGCTAATTGGGAACCAGTAAAAGAGTGTGGACCAATCCTTTGAGAGTAAAACAGAACTGGTTGGATGGGCAGGCCTGGTGGTATATGACAGTAACCCTAGCACTTCCTGTCCTTGGTCTGTCCCTGGAAGGTCTCTTAGTCGAAGGAGAAAAATAAGGCTAGGGAACAGAATGTCCCTGATGGCAGGTGTCACAGGCAAGCTGACCCTGTCTGTAATGACATGCCAGGACCCTTGTTTCACGGCACAAAGGGGGTCTCAGGTATTGACACTGACATTATCCCTGTCTGTAAACCTAAAATCATTTTATCTGTATCTGGGATAAAGGGAAATTCTTTTATTGCAAGAACCTGACTTACTCCCTCACCTTTCCACAGCCCTAAGTGAACTGCAAACCATGGTTATGTGGCTGGTCTTTGGGGAGAGAGAGCAAAGCATGCTAGTCCACAGCAGAGGAGTCGTATCCTGACAGAGAACGTTTTCCAGGGCCAGAAGGGAGAGCACGGGCTCCCCAGACTCATCTGGAACAAGCGATAAGAGAGTCTCCAGAGAGACAGGAAGCCATGGCCTCTGGACAGGAAGTCATCTCCCAGCGTGTTCCTGCGTTCTGTGGTTGGGTATGACTTCACAGAGAACCAGCAGGCAGCTCAGTGTTCTTGCACATGGCCGTCCTTAACTTTAAAAAGCACTTCTAGAATCCTCTGCAACCTGATGCCAGGAGCCTGGGCAAAGATGAAGTCATACCCTGAAACGTGGGAGCGTGACTCAGCGGGTAAATCTGAGTCCTGACGGCAAAGGTGAGCCAGGACCATAAATCTCCTGCCATTCCCACCACAGCCGAGGGTTTGGGTTGTCTGTGAGCTCCAGCAGAGGGAGGGAGTGATGCTCTGGACAGAGATTTTGACTGGCCCTACAGAGGGGACATTGAAGCCAGGTAGACTTGAGTGGAGAGGTTCATACACAGACAAAGGAGACAAAACTTTGTTCCAAGAGCCAGAAATTAGAGGGCTGCAGAGAGGTCCATTGATGTTGGGAAGCTTATAAAACTGTGTGTGTGTGTGTGTGTGCGCGCGTGCGTGCGCGCACGCGTGCATTTATTTGTATGTGGGTATATCGCTGCAGTGCATTTTTAACATTTGTGTCCCTGTGATCAAACTCAGACAATGGTGGTAACCAAATTCAGGCTTGGTAGTAAGCACTCATACCCTCTGAGAAGTCTCCCTGGCCCTGGTCAGGAACTTCTAATTAAATTCCAGTTCACCTGAGCTTCATTTGCCTGAGGCTATTCTGAGGCAGGAGGAGGGGTGAGGAGGGCTCCCCGGACAATGTGGCAATTATCTTTTGTAACAGTCTCAGAAAGTAATCTTTACACTAACTGCAAAGGCTTTAAGGACTCCAAGAGATTTAAAAAGAGGACTTCTCTAATCCTAGCCTGACCTTCACCCAGCAGACTGACCCACTGAGACCATGATGGGCGCTTCTACCCCGAGCTACCCATCTAATGGGGCCATAGCGGGCTTGGGGGGAGGCCTGAGGACTGTCCCCTTACTTCTCTCACACATCTGACCCCACACAGTGGGAGGCTGGGCTGTTAAACTTGCTGTACAATCTGAGGAAGTTCATCTGTTTGGCTGAGCGCAGATATATATCAGAAAACATGGCGGCTACATGGGCACCATGCCAGAAGAAGCTTGCAGGCCATAAAGGTGCCGAGTGTCTTCACGGAGCTCGACAAGGGGCTCAGACACCATGGGATCTCCTTGTGTTGGGGCTTCTCACTACTCAGAGCTGTCCAGACTCCCCATTTCCACCCCTCTACCACATAGAGTGCCATGCAGAGCCACACCAACAGAGGTTAGGCATTTTGCAAACTTAGATCTCCAGTC